CTCTAGTTCATGTTAAGTTGTGCATAAACTATGTACCACTCCTTTCTGTGGTTTCGATCCACATTCCGAAGGAGCAGGGACAGAATCATGGCCAAGCAAATACAAATTCTTTGTTGTGGTCAATGTAGTATATAATCCTACAGAAAGGCAAGGATTAAGCCAAGTGTATGGCTATTAATATCCTGTTAATAAAGACTTTAACTAGAAAATGCTTACATTAAATACTAAAAATTTCAACTGAATATGCCTAATTAAACACACATTTTCCAAGCTATAATAGGGTAAAATTTAAAAGTTTTCCAACTGCTACACTTCAACTTTTCTTATTACAGGGTCTTCCAAGGCCAAAACCATAAAAATCAAATGTTAAAGGGGAAAATTAAAATAAAATTTAAGGGACAAGAGATCCTTTGGTCTGTCCTATCCACTAAACTCAGAGCCAGCCTATATCATTCAAATATTTTTCAAGCTTTCCCTTAACATATTAACTGCTGTGATGCTTGGGATCACCTATGGCTGGTGCTGATAAGTGTTTTAATGCATTATTGTTATGTTTACAATTTAAACAACAGTAATAATAACAATAAATCAAAATCATGTAATTTAAACATCTTTCTATTTCGATAAAAAGTGTAGAAAAATTATTTTATTCAAAGGAAAGATAAAACATCAATTGAAATGTATTTATCATGATATACACACCTTATGGTGAATACATCAATATTTTTTGTGCTACAATTTGAAGTAAAGATCCAAACAAAATCCATGTGATTCTGGACACTCTTCACAGTTATAAATGGAATCTTTGTATTTCCCCCTTTTTTTATTGCACAATCTAAACTTTTCTTATTATTTTACTGCTTAATCCAGTTTTGCATTTTGTTGGCAAATGTTAACATATTTAGTTTTGGGTGATTAACTTGCAATTTGAAGTGGTAAAAGCTCTTTTATTACTACCAGATGAATATTTATTATTTTCACTATTTATTTATTATACAGAAGAAAATAATATAGCAGAGTCATTTGTGATATGTGAATACAAATTATCTTATACCACTTTATACCCTAACAATCGTGGATCAACTCCTTTCCTAAAAATATATCTATTTTGAGTTAATTTTTCAATATAATGATTAATATAAATACAATACAGCATGACTTAAGCTACTACAGAAAAATAATATAAGTCACATACATACCACGCAGTTTTTTCCAGAAGCAAGTTTTCTAAGGCTTATAGAAAAGTACTATTGACCAATACTAAATACAACCTCTACATAAAACAGCAGGTACTATAATAAGCACCTCTCATATTCATGTTGTAAAATCCAGAGAACATAGTTTCATCACATGCTTTGTTTATCATCCTATGATTTGTCAAATGTGAAATACAGCAATTGGAATAACATAGTACTGAAATTGACACCTTCGATTAGGATTGGCTGAAGGTTTTACGACTGAGGTTTAACATGCCTAGACACAGTTTTATAAAGAAAACAGACTAGAAAAAGGTTTAGATACCAATCATAGATGGCAGGACCAGAGCTGAAGTGAAAGGAAATATCTTTAAAAAATTTTTGAAAAAACATTTCTTAAAGAGCGCTTATTTACACTCTAAAACGTATTTTAGGAATTTTTTCATTAAATTCCTCTTTAAACTTCATTAAATAATACAATTTTGTACAAATAATTGAATGTTATGCTACTATTTACAAAAATAAAATCTGAAATCCAATAAAAAAATAGGTTCTCTTTAATTTTTTCAATTCACAAATGTGATTTTTGCCCTCACAATAAGACAAAATGGCCACGGCAGGTAATGGGTTAAACTTCTCATTTTTTTCTTAAGTTCAAAATTAATGCAATCACCTTGTTCAATGTTGTTTCCAGTTAGCAACTGTTCAGGATGAGGAATATTGCTTAAATCTTTATTTGTAAAAACTGAAGAAAAAGTAGAATTTAATAACCCAGTCACCCCATAATCATAAGCTGTTAGCCTTCCTGTATCATCCCTACTCCCATCCTGACTCTTTGGTTATTTTTAATGTATTTGAAGAAATCCTTACTCTTAATTTTTACATTTTTATCCAACCTTTTTCCCATATAGTTTTTGATTTCCTATTTTCACATTTGACCAACTCTTGATTTTCTGTAATCCTTTAACTCTCCCATCATTGCAGTCAATTAAACTTCTTATATTTAAAATGTTTTTTTTAAATTTTATCCTGTAAAAACTTAGTGAACCAACTTGATTTTTTACTTTCTGTCTGATTTATTACTGTCTATAGTAAATAGTTAGCATCAACATTTGATACATACACCTTGGAAAAACTCACTAGTCACCACCAAAACATATTTTGTGCATAGTACTACTATCTAAAAAATGGTAGAGCACATGTAGCCCATTGGGTATCTATGGGTTTAATAACAAGCAAACAACATCTAGTAAAGGAAACTTGAATTGCTTTTGCACTCTTCAATGCAGTCACTAGATGACACTAGGAGTTATTCAGTCAACAGTGCTCATCACTGAATGTTCTAGATTATTTCTGTTGTTGAGCTGAGGCCAACAAGAATGGTGTTTGTGGCAACTTCCAGAATTTTTGTGCTGTTGAGCTTTTAGATACAAAAGAGAATGAGATGTGGTTGTGTGATTCAGTTTAAGTAATATTACTGTCTGTGAAGTATATTACTGTTCTGAAGTATTTTAACATTTTGATTTAGATATTTTGTTTTGTTTGTTAGAGGGAATTTTGGCATGACATAGACATGATGATGACATGCAATGCATAGAAATGTCCTGAATGTCTAGAAGTGATGTAATGAGTGTTTGATGTCAAATTTTCTTATAAGTTGAGGAAGATTTTGAATAATGATTTATTGTTTAATTTTATTTGTGAGTTAGACATACCTCTGAATGTAACTAGTAGAACTGGTACATTGTAGTTGAAGTAAAGTGAACTGGACTTTGCATTATTTTTACAGTGTAATCCAAAAGAATCTGTTCAGCGATAGAAACTGTTACAACATTACAAGCTGTTGGATAAGGATAAAAGAAACCAGTAAAATATAGAAGAGTGTTTGTTGCAATTATTGCAAGAGAATGCATGACCTCAGTGTTACCAGAATGAGTAACCACATGAACATTTTCAAGAAATGTTCTAATGAAGTTAAGACAAACCAAAAATTTATAATATTTTGTAGTGCATATGTTATAATGTTTTTAATATGAAATCAACTAACTGTCAACCTGACACCTACTGAATTTGAAATTCAGAAGAACTTATCATAATTGTATTGCCAGTGTGATGGATGGAGTAATTTATGGAATGAAGCAGTTTTGAACTTTGTTGTCCACTAGACCATCAACACAAGTACCAATTGACACATCATTGAAGAGGTGGCTGACAAAATATCTAAGGTCATAGAAGAAAATGGTGTTGTAATAGACAACACAACCAACATAAGAGCCAGGCATTTATTTTGACAGAAGTGTTCTGACCATTCCTTAGCATTATGCAGTTGCATCATCAACTTGAAGTTAAATATGTGTTCCATCATTGAGATGCAATGCAAACATATTGTAAAACATATTTAAGAGACTCATATTCTGTTAAAGGTTGTTTCATATAAAATTCCCCCACCTCCCACCCAACTTTAGAAATCTGTGAAGACCAATCATGGCTCTATATGCATGGCAATAGTCTGTTCTGGCTGAGGGGTGAAAAAAATGTTTAAGATTTTGTAACAACACTAAAGGGATCACCTTTCTTAAGCCATGCACTCCAAAAATGAATTGCATTCTGCACATTTTCTACAACCTTGAGAAGCTTGACAGCTAAGTCACTAACTTTGAAAAAAAAAAGCAAATCATTCATCAACACTTAAAAAATGTAAGGAATTTGCACTTGACCCTCTTCACATGGTATAAATGTTCTTTATCTTGTGTATATGACATAATCTTCCCAGAAGAGGATGTTAGTAGAGTTTTTCACGTATGGACAACTGCAGAAGCTGTGCCTGATGTTTTTGAGAAAGAAATACTGTTGGATTTTATTAAGGACAAAGGCAAAGTAAGTCTGCAAACTAAATGGTGAGCTAAACTATTTGTGTGGAAATGTTTGAAAGCTGGAAGTGATGGCTTAAAGTCTGAGAGATGGTCCGTTCTGAAGTGGTGGAAAGGTGTCTGTACGTCATCTCCACTAGATTAGGTAGCCATTGTTGTTGTTGTCAGTATAATTTTGTTTTGCAGTGAACAAGTGATCTTTCAGTAAGTTAATGTTTGTGCACTTTAAACAACACAAAAGATTTACTTTAAAGAGGGCTGGCATGCTAATACTGCATATAGCTCACATTCTAAGGATTTTGGCCACAGAAATGCAGGTTGAAGACCAAATGTAAGAACAGGCTTGTTTCACTTTAACTGTTCAACATCAAATTGAGGAATGCTCTGAAGACTACTAGTCTTCCAAGGAGATTTGCCATGTGCACAGTAGAGAAAGATAAGGAGATGGTTGAGAAAAATGTCAAGAACCAAAAACAATTAAAATTAATTTTGTGTTTTCAAAGACAACTTATGTAACATAAAAAATTAAAAGTATTAATTATTTTCATCTAAAAGTTAACACTTCTCATAAACACAATTACTATTAAATATTTTGTAGCCCTATACAGATGGGTAAAAAGTTTCTAGTTATCAAAGTATAATACTGACATGATTTTGAATAAATGCTTAAGTGCCAATAATTATTTCTGATTAAATGTGCTTTCAAACATATAAAATACTACAATCTCCAACAGCCATGTGAAAGGGAGGAAGTGTTGAATTACAACTGTGGGTAATATCAGCAGTATATATATTTTTTAATTTATTAGTAATTTTACCTAACTATATGAACATACATAGTGGATTAAAGTAGATTTTGCTAGGAATTGTAGAACTTGCTAGGCAATGTGCTGCTCTAATATTGGTACATTGTTGCCAGTAAAGTTTTACATTTTCCAGTAACATACATGATAGAACATAAAGCCCTAATGAGCTTGTTTTTCTATAATTTGAAATGGAATAAGTGAATATATATACAACTTTTGGGACATATGCAGTATGATAATTGGTTAAATACTCACTAAAAACAAACAGCTTTTAAATATTATATAACTTTTTTGTATCAATTACTTTAGCCTATAAATGGTTTGTTGTTAGCTAACTTGTGCTAAAATTTTATGGGATTTCCAGTGTGCATTTGTTGACTTTTGCTTTTGTATGTTTAATAAACAGTCATGTTGCTCATGAATCCATCATTCTGCTCATTTAACAGCCGAATGCTGATTGTATTTCATTTTGTGCTTTGAAATCAAGTTTTTTGCTACTTGTATAGTCACTACTGGATTTTGCAGATAATTCACTTTGTTTGAAGTTTATTTTCCATTTGTAACCTTTTCCTACAATTGAGCATTCATTTTAAGTTTCTTCTGCTCATTTTAGTGTTAATAATTTCTATGTAGAGGCTGATTAGCCCACCATTATTGCATTTTTGATCTTCACTTAATTTAATCATAAGAGGGTCTTGAGATGTGTTGTTTCAATAAAATATCTCCATTGTTAGAGGATTGTTCACATTTCAGAACCAAACAAAAGTGTTTGAACATGTGTTCTTATACTTGTATTTTATGTTTTTATAATAGGAAATGTGGAACTTTTGTTTGTTGTACAAGAGGCAATCGATCATAAAATGATTTGTCTAAAGAGTCCTAATTCCAGTATAGTGGTGTAAATTAATTTAGGGGACAATAAAGTTTACCTACTTTTCATTTAACAATTTCAGTTCCTAAAGTACTGCTACTTGACTAAAAAGATTAGTATACCCACTTCTTTTTTTACCACTGAACTAATGGTGTAGAAGAAAAAACATCAATCACAGGTATAAAGTAGATGCAACAAGATAAGAGTAGCATCTCAAAAATTAAACTCTTCCAATTGAAAAAGATAATATACAGTGTTTATAAAATATTTAAACCTGTTGACTTTTCAAACTGTTTAATTTGCATAATTCAAAAAGATTGCTCAAATTTCATGTGTTCCAAAAAATGGACCAGAACTGAAAGATGCAGTTTGAGAATGTGAGTAAGATTAGTCTTAGTACAAGGATAGAAAGTGACTAGGATTAAGCTTGGTACAAGGATAAAAAAGGTCTCAAGCTGAATTAAGGAAGTTAAAGTTATGGTTCCATGTTTTTTCATCTTGGTATTAGGATACTGATGAATTTAAAATTTTTCTTTTTTTAATATTTTATTTCTTATGTTAGATTAATTTAGACACATGTACTGGCCAGTTTTTGCTACAGGCTTATCATAACTTTAGTTCATAGTAGACTTTGTTGAGAGTAGTATTCAAACAATTACATGAGGAGTTGTTATATGTGTATAATTATAAAACTTTGCTTAAACCTGAACTTAGATCAATAATTTGTGTACTTTATCTATCTGTACCTAAAAATATTTTGGAAGAAAATACAAACCATAACCTGTGTAGTTAGTTATATTTGTGTGTGTGTGTGCATGTACAAAAATCTAATTATTCATTGATGAAATATTTTAGAATGATTATTTAAATAAATTTTTAGGTTCGAGTTGAAGGAATCGTTGAAAAGGTACCACCAGAAGAATCTGATGGGTATTTCCAAATTCGTCCTCATAAGAGTCAACTGGCAGCAATAGCAAGTGAACAAAGTTCCGTGATTAGAGATAGAGAGGTAAAAAGAAAATCTGTTTGTTCTCTTATCATTGCAGTGTGGAGCACAGAATACCGTGTCAGTCAAATCAGTTACTAGACTCATATCTGTAATATTTATAAATATTAATATACCAAAATCTGAAGTGTACTGGCAATCAGTACATCATGCTCTTAAACGTATCACAGGCCAATATAAAACCTAGATTTAACTCCACCTCAGTAGTTGAAAAACCAAAACAACAATTCACAGAAGCTTGGCTGAGGTCCAGATCAAATTTTATTTCTTGAAGTATTGCAAGGATTTAACTTGTCCAATGATGTTTCAAGTCTGGAAGAATAAAATATTCAGCTATGCACCAATAGTTATGACTGACCCTTTATGTTGTTGTCACATTTTCATCCAATAGGTTTATAATAATAATTATCCTTAGTTGTAGTATTAATAGTCAGTAAGTATTGTTTTTAATACTGTTCAGGGCATTATTGGAAAAAAAACATTTTCACACAAAAATATTATAACTGCAGTAATCAGTTGATGTAAGCTATATGCAGTGAGTTAGGTAGAGACCAGTCAGACAGCAATAGTTTACATTCTGTTTAATATTAGTTTACTATAATTATTAAGTAAAGCTAGAATAAAGGAACCAGTGATATAAAGATGTTTTGTACACAAGAAGAGCCAAGTTATATAAAAACATGATGTTAAAATGGCTTATTTGAACAAGACACAACTGGAGCAGACTTGACATTTCTTACTTTATTCATGCTGCTATTAGCTTCAGTTGAAATAATTGGAGAAAATAAGTGGAATATGAGCCAAAATACATATAGTAGATTAATCTGTACAAGGTGATGTGCCCATATAGCATTGTGTGAGGCTATGTTTTTAACTTTTGGCATTTGTGTTCATGTTTGGCCAGAAGAAGTTTTGTAGAGTTACAGGCATTATTTAACTATTGTAACCTTCTTAGAAGTTTAGTAAACAATTTTAGTAGTATGAGATACAAGATAGACAAGAGGAGTTGTTGATTTGATTGATCAGTGATCTAATGAATTTCGTTATTCAATTTGTCTGTTGCTGTCAGAGATAGTCAGTTTAAGTTTTCTGAATGCTGAGTTTGTGTTTCTACAGAGAAATAAAGATATGAGAAGCACAGTACATAAAAGAAAATTAGCAAGTGAAATTATTGTTTTAATATCTACTGTGAACAGCCATGTCAGTGAACATTAGTGCTTCTAACTGAGGAAGCTGTAGTGGAAAATATAAAACATTTTTGTTATCGTTAAGTGGATTGAACTTTTCATTATTTTTTACCAAATAATCCAAAAGAATCCATCTGACAATAGCAATAGCAAATGTTACACACTGGTGTCAAAAGTGGGTTATTTTAATAAAAGAAAAAGGGGGAACCAGACTAAACTTCAAGATAGTGACACATGTTAGAAGAGAGAGAACATTTCTGAAAATGATGAAAATAATATCAAGAAGAAAGTGACAGGAAGTTAACAGATAATTACAGTGTAAAGACTTTAGATTTACAGAAGATTTATGAATCAAAATCAGTTTGATTGAAGACAAGATAAAGAAAGCCATAGAAAATGTATAGAGGAATCATAAAATTGAAGAAGTATGAAATAACATCAGTAACGTAAAAATGTAAGTAAAAAATTACATCATTGAAGTGAAAAAGGAAGTACAAAACATCAGTAAAATTAAAGTAAAAAAGGATGTTGACATCAAAACAAAACAAATGAAAACTGAACTGGTAAATGCAAGGATCAAATCAGCCACACTCACCTCTGCATCCTCTCAAGAATTCCATCCTCAAACACCATTAGTTATGTCATGTAAAATAGGAGAACCCATCTGGTCTACACCTGTTACTATTACTATTGAGACACCTGTAACTTCCAGACCTTTCAAGACTACTTAACTACACTGCTACTTGATCAAGTTGCTCACTAACAATATTCTTTTTACTTATCAAAACAGCTGCACTATCAGTTTCTGAGGGTATGCGGTTTTGAAACTGACATTTAACTTTTTCAGTTCTGTACTTAATCAATTTATTCTTGTATGGACACAACCATCATCTCTCTCTTACACATTAATAATGAATTGCATTATTGGCTCACATAGCTTGACATATCTCAAATAAAGATAATTGCCTTACAAATGTTATATTTGTACTTTCTTCTGTCATCGTAGAAGAAACAAGAGATACACTTATATCTTCTGTTATAGTACACTGCATTACATCAGTTGTACATTTATGAGTATCTGATGTTATATCCCAGCTCAAGTTATTCACTTGTAAATTTTATTGTTTGTAAATTATCAATTAGTTCACTTTTTTCTGATGGAATCTTTACTTTAGCAACACAGTACAAGTACACAAAACTGTATGATCATCTGGCATTAAGACATTTAATGAAGGTTAACATGATCAATCACCTTTGATTTTTTCTTCCACATTTCTTCATGAACATACTATTATGCTAATGTTGTTTGAAGTTTGAGGGTTCCTTCACCTGTCTACACATTGGTCATCTTATTCTTAAAATATATTCTGCATTGTATTTATTTTTCACCATTATCCATTTTGAAAATTTCTAGCCATGGAAAATTTATTTTCCACTTAATTGATCTTCTGGATCGGGACTTCACAGATTTAACCTTCCTTCCTTTCAAATTTACTCAGTCTTCTAAAACCAATTTGGCTATTGATTTTTGAGTTTTCTGGGAATCTAGAAATAATACAAGAAAAGTTGTCTTTTTAAAATCATTGTTTTTCAATTTGATTCTGATGTTGCATAATGCAGAGTAAAGATAATAGATCAATCATTAATATGGTAATCATTCTGGATTGAAAGCTATGTTATTTTCAAATAAAAAAATCTCACTCACTCACATCTTCAGAAAAAAAAAAAAAACTTGTCATCATATGTTATGGACTATAAACAACAGGCTTTTACTTATTATCAGAACTATATCACACTATGACAATATAAGGTATTTGCTTTCCGTTTTGTTGTAGAAACTGCAACCAGAATTATATTGGTAATAGCTTAGGTATTATGATTTTGAAATGCAAAATAAAAGTTTAATATCAGCTAGAAATATTTATATTATAACATAATTTGATGCTATTAATAATAAATTCAACCTTTTTTTATAAGCTTAGTCGAATATTGAAAAGCAATCAATCTGTAACTGAAACCTATATTGCTTTAAGAGCTGTGTGTGTGTGTGTGTGTGTGTATTTGGAAATTGTTGTTTCTGTTGTGTCAGATACAGTGAAGATTCCTTGTACATTAAATAAATGAAATTAAAAGTGCATTTCACAAGATATGTCTGTCGTTGAAAAAATTGTTGATAAAAATGTGTGTGATCAAATGATCAATGTAAGCTAGTGCGCCTTGTACGAAAAACTTTTTGAATACACAGATGTATAAATTTAGAGCGAAACTGAATATGCATGAATATTTTTTTTATTCTCAGTTTCTGGCTATATTGTACTTTGTAGTTTTATATGATGCATAGTAAAGAAATAGGTTTAGATATTGTTACAAAATGTGTAGGATTTCTTGTAAGATTTCAAACTTGTATGAATTTTGCTGTGAATAGTCTCATTACCCATACTTTATAGGTACATCTATTTATAAAGCATCTGAATGATGGAGACTAAATACTAATTTATGGAAAAATTCTATATCTTTCAAAATGTTGCTAAACAAGAAAATGTGTTTACAAAGAGAGAGTTATGGTCCAGAGTTAAATGTTGTTAAGTTATTTAATCTTTCACAATAATTGCATTTAAAATTGTCATGTGAAGCCTTTAAGATTTGATTTTATAATTCTAAACTCAACATCGAAAAAATAAAGAGTGCATTTCTTAAATGTCTGATATTAGAAAGTTTTATTAACTATAGAATAATGTCTAACAAATTGGAAAACTCAATGTCTACATTTTAGCGACTCCTGTAGTTCGTCCATTTTCATTAGAACTGAACTGTAATAATTTATACTGTGGTAGAATTGTTTGCCAGAGTCTGGGGTGAACTTCTAAAAAAAAAGAAGAGTAGAGGTACTCAGTTTGGTGAAGTGGACTTGTTTTTGAAAAAAGAAAAAAAAATCTACATGTGAACATAAAAAACGAATAAGTAGCTCAAATAAGTCCCAGTACTAGTACCACCTTAAAAAATAAGTTCCAATACTCAGTACTGGCAGAATTTTGCCCCTGGCTAGAATGTTAAGTTACTATTAGGTTTAACATCATGTTAAGAAATTATTCAAATGTGTTGTCTTTCTTGAAATTTTTACTTTTGTCTTCTCAGGTTTTGATTAACAAGATAAGAGAACTTGAAGAACAGTATAGAGATCCCAAAGCACTTGTACCACGACCTAGCAATTGGTATGTATTTTTTAGGCAAAATATTCTCAAAGTAAAAATGATTTCAGATATTTTCTTAGTAATTTTTTTTGTACTTAGTATAGATATTGCATTTGTGAATAGTCTGTTAGCAGATACATTAAAGAATTATATGATTAGTGAGGGATCCTGCTACATGACAACATCTGATTATTAGTTCTTACATGCCTACCATGTTAAGGCACTGAACATTTATGAAACATGCCAACCTAACCATACAGTGATAGTTATGCATGATCTATAATTTTTTTTGGTTAAGCACTACATTATTTCACATTCACTTTGCAACCTTCATCAGTGCACCCAAGTCATTAAATATGTGGCTGTTAATTATTTCATAACACTGATACCTTAGGCTGCAGGATGACTGTAAACTGGCCAAGTTTCATTAACTTAACAAATGTTTCTAAATAAGAATTTGGATTTTAGGTCATTATTAAATATTAATATTTTTATATGTAATCTTTAAGATTTATCAGAGTTTCTCTACACAGTTCAAGTTACCATAAGTAAAAGTTAATGAACACATAACACAGTACAATAAGTGTCCATAAATTGATTTTATTGCAATTAGTTCCTTAGGGTACAGTACAAGTCACATGCAAAGTAAAAGTGACTAATTTTTTAAAATAACAGAAAGTAATAAAACAGACATCTAATTTCACAACTAGTTAATGGACAAATTGACTTGTTACAATTTAAAGCCACTTTTCACTGCTACAAAGGACCATAAATTAAGAAATAATGAAAAAGCCAAACATTTTGTCATTATTGGGTTAAATATTTTTTACACGTGTAAACATGTTTTAGTACAAAACTAGACTGGGAGAGAGAATAAATATTCCAAGTTTATGTTTTTATTTATCTCCAGATCATGTTTCAATTCAAATGTATCAAAATATGATATGCTTTCAAATTCTTACAGACTACTTTTCAGCTAATTTCAATATCTTGATGCATTTGCTCATTCACATGGACTTTTCATGGGGTAATTAGTAGAGACCTCACCACCTTACCTAATTGTTAGGTGAACAATCAGTCATTGAAAAAGTGAAACCTCTTGATTTATGATTTCTTTTCAGTTACCCACGAGAAACTGAAATGTTTTTCAGAAGTTTAGGGAAATACTCGGGTATCCTCATTAAATGTATTCTAACTAGTAAAAGTTCTGGTTTGAAAAACAACAACAAATTTTGATTACCATTAAGTGAGCTGGACTTTTCATTCACCTTTTTACTAAATAATCCAAAATAATTTGCTTGATGATAGAAACTACTTAGAACAATACTATTTATTTATATTAGTTTTAATAATATATGATATTTTATTGCAAAATTTCTTTTGTTGAAATGGGCTTGTACATGAACTCATTAGGTCTGTAATTTTATTATTGCTAGTAAGTGTATGTGAAACTTGACTTTAAGATCAATGTGTTGCGTAATGGTATAACTAGTATTCTGCTATATAGTGGTTTTTATTTCATTATAAATTTTACATTTACTATATCATGCTTTATGTTTGAAGTGGGTGTATTTGAGAAATAGTTTTTTTTGTGAGTTAGTAATTTTAATGAGTGTAAATGCAGAAGTGGCCTGCATAATGCCACTGGACAGGAAAGAATTAAAGAAACCAGTCATCCACTGACATGTTGCTACCCTTATCCTAGTTTCCCATTTATATGACAAAGACAAATTAGTAATTTAGAAAAGCTAAAAAGGAAGTATTACATTTGAACAAACATGCAGAACTCAACATACACAAAATGTATATTTCACATGTAAATATATCATTGACTTCATGACTATATCTGGCCCCATTTTCTCATTCCATGGAAAATTACTAATTCTCTTGCCCTTCAAAATGTGTCATGCATTGCAATTGCTGCAGTAGATGCTTAAAACTTTATATACAAGTTATTTGACAGGCTTGGAAAACTTGTGTACTTTGAGATGATGTAGGTTCACAAGGTGAGTCACATCAGTAAAAACATAAGAGCAAGTTCTTTTCTTCCACATTGTTTTTCAATATGCAGGATTTCTATTAACATTTCAGCAGTTGTTTTAGGTGTTTTTTTTTATACAGACTGACAGTCAATAATGATTACACAAACTTGTATAACAAATTAAATATTGCATCATTACATGACAGTTACTGTTATGTCCTCCCTCTGGCTTTCCCTGATCCATCCAGTGTAAGATGATGACAGTTGGCCAGCACCTGTTTCATCAGCTTTTATCTCTCAGAAATCCATAGTCCTGTGCCTGGTGGTTTGTATGTCTTGTATGGAATAGCATGAATACCTGTTTCATTCTTCAGCTGCTTGAGGTATGTGAAAGTTGAATGGATATGTTTTGGAATCAGGTTGTATACATGTGACTTGTGTTGTCTTTTGAAATGGAGATTATTTTTTTATTATGTTGGGGTATATGGATGGCTTTTGCCATTGACCGTTATGTTTGTGGATAGTCACCTGTTCCAAGATGCCTCACCTCAGCTGGGGTACAACTTATTTCACTGTGACTATATCAGCTGTGATTGTCACAAGACTTACTGATTTTTGTATTCATGATAGTTTTAGTATAACATATTCATCTCTTTGTAATATTCTTAACTGATTGACTGTTAGTTAGGTTTTATAAAGATATACAAGAAGATGTTTCCTGAAATTATGACTGAAAGCTTGTGAAATAATAACAATATGTAAGAGAAAACATTGTTATTGTGTTAATATATTTCTTTGTGTTGTTCATAATAGTTTCATTGATCGTCCAGTTACTAAAGATTTCAACTCATTTGACCATTATTGGACCGCATATTTTGATACTTGTGCTAATGTTAGCATGAAAGCTTAGAGCATAAGGCTTGATATTTAAACTCAATTCACAGTCAGTCCTTGATCTGAACAACAAATTATTATTAAGCATATACTGCATTCCTTTATATTATATCTGAATCATTGTCCCATACTTTTTCAAATATTTTATTTTGACATTTTGTTAAGTCTATTTTGGTACTAATAATGATGATGTTTTTATTATTGCTAATTATATATACTGTAATTACACACACTTCTTTTTTCTGCAACTTATAGTTTAGGAGGATATTTGTGCCTTGTTTGATTTTATTGCAGTTAGTTTATTAGGGTGTAGTGCAAATCACACTTAAAGTAAGCTGATGGATTTTAAAAATAACACTTCCACATTTACCAGTGTTTAATGGCTTGTTTACTTCTTTGCAAAACTGTACATTAAAATAATGTATTGTTTATAAACTTTAAAATGTGCAAGTACGTATTAGGTTTAGTTTTCTCTTTTTTTTTCTCTTGTGGAGCCCACTACTGCCATTCTCCTTTTATCCATTTTTGAGGTTTGACTGGACTTTTCATGTTAAGGTTGTGGGTAGAATGTCAAATGCTGCTGCTGCTGCATTAATCAGGTGGTGAAGTTAAGATGTGGCATATTTTGTACACTTACACACAAAGAGCTGTATTGACAATTCTTGGGTTATGAGTGCAAGAGTACTTGTAGCTAGGTAATCTTGAGGAACTTGAAAACTTATAAAATATTGGTGTATGCCAATTAAAATGAAATTACTCCTTAATTATAGACTACTGTAAGAGCTAGGTTTCTAGTTAAGCATGCCTTATAATATCAAAGCATAGAACTAAACTGCCTGATTTTATTCTAGGGGAGGTTTTAAGCTTATTCCACAAGTAATGGAGTTTTGGCAAGGAAACACACATCGGGTACATGATCGTATCCGCTTCAGAAGACAATTACCAGGAGAGACCATAGATGAAATTATGACTCACCAAGGTGAAGATGGGTGGCTTTATGAACGACTAGCCCCTTAAATATAACACGAAAACAGTGAACGGTTTATTGATTTCTATATAAGTATGTTTTGGTTCACAAAGCAAACCACTTTTAAGTAAATTTCTTTCCACATCCCTTGCTATTATTTTTGTTATGCTATACTATCTGATAATTCTGTTTGTCCATACAAGCTTTTATGACTAATTATAAAAAGTATATCTCTGAATATTATAAATATTGTAAACAGCTGACTCATGGGCACTCTTAATACCTTGAAAAAGTACACAGTCTTTGAAACTTTTTCTTGTGCTAAAATGTTTTATGTAAATAAAGATTTATGATAATCATCCAAACTATCTCTAAGATAGGGTTGTTTCTAAAAGCCAAAAACTGAAATGCTGAACTTCTATTGAACATTTACTTTAAACAACAGTTGATTGTTTTTCAAATATTTATTTGGAGTGGAAATGGGTTGAAAGTGCTACAGAGAAGCTACTAGCAAATGGGATGTAAGGTACTTTGGTTATTGTAGCAGATGATATGCAATTTTCATTAGCTGTGGTTATACATGTGCTACTCTTGCTTAAGCGGGTCTATTTTTAACCTGTCAACCATTGGTGATTTGAATTAACTGTATTCTGCCACATTAAAGAAATAGTTTTAAAATTCAACAAATTCTTGTAAGGAAATTACAATACGAAGTTTTACAGGTAAAAATTATTGAATAAATTTAAACTGTAAAAAATCTCAATGAAATATTGGATTACAATATTAACAAGATAAAATATAATTATTTTTTTTATCAGGTAAGTATTCTAGAATGATAAAAATACCCAGTTTTAAATGTCTAATATTTTTATTTGTATGATCTATTTCCATCTATCTAACAAGAGTACCCAAAGAGTTAGCAATGGGTGATGTTGACTGGCTGCCTACCCTCTAGTATATCACTTCAAAATTAGGGACAGCTAGCACAGACAGCAATTGTGGAGCTATGCATAAAATTCAACAAATATGACAACTTATGTTATTCTGTTGGAATACTAGTAATTTAGCCTCCCAGTGGCACAGTCTGTGGACTTATACTGCTAGAAACCGGGTTTTTATACCCGTGGTGTAGCTTTGTGCTTTGTAACAAACAACAACAAGTAGTAATTTAATTTGAAAATCTATTCATCTTAATGACAAATTAATTAAAATGTAATCTTATGGTATTGTTATGGGAAAAATAAAAACAGATAGAGCTAATATCTTAAGACAGTTGTAGCACATAATACATTTTTACTTAATTTGTGGATTTTACAATATATAAAAATTTACCTGATCTGTTAAACTTGTGGAGAAAGTAATAATTATAGAATAATAAAAATGTACTCTATCATTGCAAAGTATATTTTGTTTCACTGGAGGCAGCATTTTTGTATTTTTTGTGTTTTTTTACAAATAAACAAAAATATGGCAATCTTTCCATACTATGAATATGTTTTACATGTATTAGAGGAAAAATATTTGATGAGGAACCCACTTTGAGACTAATAATGGTTGGAGACGGCTTGAATGGGTAATGAAGAAAAACTTTAATATAAGTTTCACATAAGAGCAAATGTACAATGTTTCAAGAAGGTTTTGTCATCATCAGGTAACTGAGTTGAACAAAAAATGTGGCCTGGCTAACTAATGGTGGGGCATTAAGATTTGTACGCGTTCCTTTACTTTAAAAAACAAACTCTGGAAGAGGCATTGGATTTTTCTTGTCTGTGGATACTTGCATAAAAATGGTAATTCTCTCGCGTGATTATATATAATTTTCTTTAACAAAAGTAGATTCATTACTAATAGAAAGGGTTTTTTGTGATGCATTTTCATTCCGATGCAGTGGCATGTGATCTCTGTTTATTATATGAGGCTCTCTTCCAAATTTTGAGTGAAACCAGTATTGTACTTGCCAAACATTTTGAAGGAACTCAATGATACAAACCTTTTGTTTGGTTTGCATAAGTTTACTTGATACTCTTTTATCCAATAACAGATCCACTTATTCGAAAATTGAAGCCTCTCTTTCATCGGCACCTCCTTTTCCTGACAACTTAACCATTTGCTATACAATTCATTGCATTTTCCCTTGAACACACACTTGGGTAACCTGGCCTTCAAAGACCCATGCATATCAATAAACCACTCGAATATAAAATGTGTCGAACCTAAATAATTGGATAAATAAATAAATAAACAAAAAGTAAATGCATTTTTGTCATTCAAACAAAAACAAATTTGTTCTGCGAATATTTCAGTGTAATGTCACTCACCATTAAAAAAAAATTAAACAATGATTTTTCTGGCTGAGTTGTCAGCACAGAAAAGGGTACATATACATAATGATAAGACTTACCCCAGGGGCAGCACTTTTTCTTTCTCCCCCTGACTTTCGATACATTTTTCTTTTTTACTCGCAGGCCCAAAAGAAGAATTGGTGGTGTTTTCCTCATATGTGGCATGGCATCTCCTAGCTAACTCAACAGGTTTCCAAAATTCAGGGTTGTTTGATGGAGCATTTTTTATTGAAGGAAAGAACTCTCTCACAGCTTTCGAGATCAAACTAACGAAGTTTTCTTTCTAGGTGTCGCATATCTATTCCTTTGTTTGTCCCAAACATCAGTCATTACAGTGTTTTCAAAATCTTTTTTATATTTTTCACAAACTTTTTCTTTCTCTTCAACAGAGTACATTTTTATTTTCGCTTTTCATTTTCACTACAACACGTACAACAATAATGTACAACTATGTCAGATAGAATGTTGTCTATTTCAATAGTGGGCAATTCGATTCTTATTTCCGAATGTTGTAAATTTCAGGAGGAGGAACTGTTTGTGAAGTATAGGACAATTGTAATAGGGAATTAAGAGAAAGTGTTATCACACAAATGGACATTACCCTGATAGGGGTTGTAGTAAGTGTGGTTTACTCCAAACCCCTTGTAGTATCCACACCTACATTCTTCAGTAGAAACCTAACATATACTATATATGCTGTAAAAAGTGCAACATGCTATACATTGGTCAAATGGGTCACCGCTTAGGGGATCATTCACGTGAACATCTTTCTTATATAAGAAACAATGACATTATAAAACTCACAGGTATACACTTTAAAACCCTTCACATTGCATGTCCGATTTCTCGATACTTGGACTCACATTTGCTCCATCCACTGTAACTCAAAGAGAACGCCTGGGGGCCCGTGCAAATGAAACCTGGTTATGTCGTAAAGACCGCAAAGCATCTTTAGGCTATATCTTTATTTAATGATAAAAACCATAGTTTTTGGCTTTTCTTTGCATATAGACGCTTGATACATTAAGAACGACTGAAATAATAATTTGAGTAATAATTAATATGTATTTGTTGCTTTATAGATTTAATAGATATTTGTTTTTACTTTATTAACATTTTTACGCTTATACTGTGAAGTAAAAACGGCTGCTGCTATGATTTTGTCTGGTTTATGAGCTCGTTGTTGTTCTAATTTAGGATCTTCTTTTTAATAAATTCTTGAAAATGTTAAAAAAGAGAGAGAGAGAGAAAGGGGGCCTGGCGAGGATGTTTGCCCCAGGGCCCATGCTGGCTCTCGATGTTCCTGTATATAAGTGATTGTTAAAGAATATTCCATTTTACAATATAAACATGTTCTTTACATCTATTAAAAGTCAATATATAGTAATCACAAATGTTAAAATCTAGTGTTGTTTATGGTATAACAACATTTTTGTGATTTGAATTATGATTTAAAAGTGTGATCAACTTGTACTATCATAAATAAAGGGATGAACTGTTTTTGTTGTGTATGTTCTGATAAAGTATCAATAGTTCGAGAATGGAGTGACTGATCATATTAAAACTGCAGTATGACATTTAAGCAAACCATGGCTCTTAATATATAGCTTGTCTTGTCTTTATTAAACAACATATGAGAAATGTTTTGCAATTTTACTTAATATTATACCTAATAGTTCAATGATACATCACAAGCATAAATCAAATGGTCACATAATAACATATTTTAATCAGGAAAGGGTCTTGGTAAAGTCAGGTAATTTCATTTTACCCAAGGTACAGGAACTGTTTATTTGTAACAACTGGATTTAGTGACTTAACTGGAAGTTGGATTTTACATGTTGGATAGCAGTGTTATTCCAAATATTTATGTTTACAATTTAAAATAATGTAAGATTTAGTCTCTTGTTTAACAGCATTTTAAAACTTTCGAAAATATCAACTTTTAATCAAAGTTTAATAATGTTGATAATTAAAAATTGATTTTGTATATTTTGAAAGTTTATTAACTTAACTAAAGAACACACGTGAGGTAAGTTTAGTTAATATGAATGTAAAATTATTATCATTTGGTTCAATATAAAAGGAAATATCCAAAATATTACAAAGCTAATGAAAATAAATTTGTTTTAGTTTTACATTTACCTCTCCATTATAAAATCACAAATTATAAAGAACATAGCAATACAAGAAATAGAAACTTAAACTAATAGCATAGTATTATTAAATAAATCTTAATTTTGACCATGTATAGAAATAAAATTTTATGCATCAAAACGTAATAGTTTTCACATTGACGTATATCGTCAACCTTTTTTGCAATTTCTCATATGGTGATATTAACATTTGCAAGTGGATGCATACAGAAATATTCAAAGCTTATTGAATTTGCAATGTTATTCTGTGACCTATGCAAATTAATTCTCAAAAATTATAATTTATAAGATAACACGAGGAATCTTTTGCTCTTAACAAATTTTTTTAACAAGATGAAACACTGCTTTTGATTAGCTTAGCTAGGTTATAGTTGGTAATAAGGCAAAATATTTCAAACCAATAATTTGTGGGCCATTATAAATTTAATAGCCTTTAACACAACTGTAAAAATGTTAATATGAAAAAGGCATTCAAAAAGACTGTAAATTTAGCTATAGTATAATACTTGAGTAATTTTACTAGGGTAATTCTCTTAAAAATTTATTTATCATTATAATACCTAGAAAGATTTAAGTATATCTTAATTATTCACAGCATTATTTTCTGATTTCACTATCCTTTGTCAAAATTTTTAACTCTCTTTTCTATAATATTATAATCTTCAACTTAATTATTTCTTCTAGTGAACTTTAAATGGGATAATACAAATTAATAATGTATAACTTACATGTATATTTAAAAACAAGTATGAGTAGAATTTTCCATAGAAATATTGCTACAGCTGTTGTGACAAGTACTGAAATATGGAGTCTATAATTCTACACAAAATATATAAAGAATAATGACTACAAATAAATACCCAAGACTAAAGAAGAAATGGCTATTTTCCAGAAAGTCTTGGATATTATTTTTTGTCTGTTATTTGGTGTTTTTATCTTGAATGATTTTCAAATATCATGAAAATACTTGTACATGAACCTAATAGTTTTGAACACAACCAGTGGAAATATATTTCTTGCCAGTAGTAAATGGTAATCATACTCATTAAAATGTCTAATTATTAACGTATATGTTAGTGTATAAAATATCTTAGTGTCTTATCTTTTGTTCAAGTGTTAATAAGATTTTTTTCTATTCTGTTAAACATGCAAAAAATTACCCACCCTTTAACTTAATACAAACACATGCTTTACTACCAATGTAAATGTATGCCTAATATAGTGAGTTAGTAAAGAGTGAAGATTCCAATGATTTTTAAGTTAGCATTTACAAGAGATTGCAACACACAACATTATAAATTAACGTTATCTTTTTTGGATATTATTTAAGTCGGTGAATCCTTCAACAGGTAATCTAGGGTAAAGTAACGTATAGAAGATCTTGTAATTTTTGTGTACAATTTATACTAATTATATAAATAAAACAGTTCTTGAATGATATCCCAGACACTTTGTCAGCTAATATTATGGCACAAATTTAACCATCAGGTGTAGGTACTGGCATCATTATAATTTAAGATTTTCATAAATACACATAAACTTAAAAAATAAAATAAAGTAGAGATAAAAAGGAACTACAAATGAAGTTAATCATTTCTGATGTACAGCATAATTAGGTGAAATATTAAGAGGAATTGAACTATAATTAAGTATTTAACTTGGTTTAGAAATTGTGTGTTAAAAAATATTGCAAAACTGAAAAACAAAAGCCATTTCCATGAGTGTAGATCCTGTGTTGGTAGGTAGAGGCAAATTTGGCTGCCAGGAATTTGGGGAAATTTCCAGTAGGCTGATGGTGCATGTAAAAATAGTTTGTTATGAAAAAGAAAATATTTAAATTGGGCTTAATTTCCCATTAATGACTTATAGCATAACTTACATGGAACATGGTAAATGATTAAAATTCTTTTACGGATGAATTAGTTTCAGTTTATGTAATCTGTAGTCAAAATAGGTCTGCACTTTACTTAGACTGGTAATAAATTAATTTTTTTGGATTGTAAATGAAAATTTTTGCAATACAATTTATTTAATTAATGAACTGCACAAAGCTATGAGATGAGCTATCTTTGTTGTGCCCACAACAGTTATAGAAACCTGATTTTTAGTATGGTAAGCCCTCAGACTTCCTGCTGAGCTGCTTGGAGATGGTATGAGTAGTACTAGTATGTATGACAGGCTATGCAACATTAAATGCAGCACCCTGCTTAGTATTTTCAAGAATCCCTCTCATTGAAGGGCTGGTATAAACATTTTTATTCTCCAGTCCACCTTTGTTGCCATGGTATGCTCATCTTTCATTAAAATATGAATATTTTGGTAGAAGTAAATTTTCTTCCTTTAAGTGTTATAAATGTCATCATAAATAAATTTTATTACTTCAGCTAGCAGCCCAAACTTCTTAAGTGCAATAAATTGATACTGTTAAACACAATACTTCATTGCACCATTTTAGTAAATCATGTTCAAAGGATAGTTATTCTAGTGCAAGACTGTGCACTAGAAAAAATAGTAATATGTAATATCAAATCTTACAAAAATGTCAATTACATACTGTTATAAACAAATAATTCTAAATTATGCTGGTATTACTGTACAGTGGTAGGCTACAGTTAAAAAAAATCATAAATTAGTATGCCCAGCTTACAACAAGCATTACAATGATTTTTAAGAATTTTAATTATGTTTATTGTAACTCATTTTCAGATAAAGTAGTAACTTTGAAAAACTGAATAAACTACGTATATGTATAAGTGTGAAGCACAGAATAGTTTCAAAGAAGTTTATATATTTTGCATAATATTACATTTCAAGTAAAATTTGCACAATATGACTATTACCAACAAAATAACCAGAATATTCTAAATAAAATATCAT